CGCTATAATTTCTACAACCTTTATCGGAATTCGGCGAATAATATACTTTTGATAAGCTACGGAAAATGCGAAACTTTTTCATGTTGATGGTTTTCTCTGATTCCTAGCCGTTTTCAAGTAATTCCAAAACAGCGGGATCATTCGTTCTGCCTCTACCGCGAAACAGATTCTTCGAAAGTGCACTGCGTGAAGAACCTGAACTTCTCGGCGCGTGTACCCGAACTTCACTCTATTTTTCACGTGATTTTTTTGCTCGTAGATCTTCATCCACTGCTCGTAGCTCTTCATCCCACTCACGGGAATTGAGCGGGTGATATACCGATGGAAAGCTGATGTAAACACGCAAATTTTCCGTGTTGATCATTTTTTCATACTCGCGACGATTTTGAAAGTTTTTCATCTGAAATTCATTCAGTGTAGTAGTTGAACTTCCTGCTGTTTCACGTTGAACTTCTGTGACGTATTTTCATTTGTAATTTTCTCATCCGTTCGTCAACTGTTACACAAATGATATACCTTTTGTACAAACCTCTCTCACAATAATTTTTTTAACTTTCTCCAACCGAGGAGTTGAACTTATAACAACAAAACTTTTAGTATTTGCTTTTTTATTCTTTTTTAATACAAAATGCACACCGTGTAGTACGTGAACTTCTGACAGTTATCTATCGAACTTCTCTCGGTTACGTGAAAATATCTGAGTTTTTATAATTATTTATCTGATTTTCTTAATCCTTTTTTATGAATTTCAAAGCGCTCTATTTTTAAAATTTGAACTTATTGTTATTTTATTTTTGAACTTCTTGTTTCCACTCTTTAATAACGAGGAAAATCTGAGTTTTCGATAATCATCGAACTTCTCCATCTTTTTAATATGGACTTCCTGGTTTTATTTATTAATCTTTTTATGAATTTTCAAGCGCTCTATTTTTAAAAGTTGACCTTCTTGTTATTTTTTTGAACTTCTTGTTTCCACTCTTTAATAACGAGGAAAATCTGAGTTTTCTATAGTCATCGAACTTCTCCATCTTTTTAATATGGACTTCTTGGTTTTATTTTTTTAATCTTTATAATTTAAATTTTTTATTTTCTTTTTGAAATCAAATTGCTTCCAAATAATAACTGAACTTCTTTGTGGATTGAGAGAATTATTTTAAAACGCAAAAGAACAATTTCTTTTTTGTGTTTTCGAACATGGAAATACAAGGTGAACCTCTTTGAAGGATTTCTATCTTCTTCGGATAAAGCACTCAAACTTCTTTCAACAAAACTTTTAAGTTTTTATTTTTCTATAGTTTTATTCTCACCTGAAATGCATTCCTTGCATTACTTGAACTTCTCGTTGTTTTCACTATGAATTTCTGTCGTATTTTTGTGTATACGTCGAATTACACGCAATTGAAGGTCGGTTAGAACTTCAATTATTTATAAATTGAAAGTTGGAGTTTTGTTAGAAACATCAAACTTCTTCATTATTTCAAATTGAACTTATTAGTTTTATTCTTTAGTAGCCAGAAAAACCCGAGTTTTTAAATAAATATCAAACTGCTCGGTTACGTGAAAATATCTGAGTTTTTTTATAGACATTGAACCGCTCTAGCTTTTTTATTTGAATTTCATTGAGTATTTTTTAGAAATGAGAAAATTGAAGGTTTTTAAAAAACATTGAACTTCTTCGTTGTTTGATATTGAACTTATTGGTTTTATTTTTATTAATCTTTTTGGGGTTCACCAGTTAATCTTACTCCAAAAAAAATATTATGTTGTTTTATTCTCCAAACTTACTACGTTTCATTCGGTGAATCTTGTTGGTTTTTTGTGTCGTGATATTTTTCTTCCTTTTGTTCTCATCGTGAACTTTTTCCTTTTTTGAAAGATGAACTTCTCGCGCGAATCTTACTTTTTTCTGATAAAAATGTTATGTTTTATTTGTGTTACCGTTTTTTCCCCCATCAAAATTCTAGAGGTATTCATACGTGAATAACTTGGGCATTAAAAAAACATAGTTTTTAGCTCCCTGAAAAAACTTGTTTTCCAAACTATGGCACGCGATGAACTAGAACTTCTAACAGTAAGCGCATATGTTTGCATATTCCCGGGAAATCCAATTTTTTTATTGAACTCCTTTGTTAGTTTAATTTGAACTTCTCGATTTAACAGCGAAAATGAAATGCTCTGTTATTCTAATGTTTTACTAACTTCGAACTTATCTGATATTTTAATTTGAACTTCTTAGTTTTATTCAAAAAAATATGGTTTTTAAATAAGCATCAAACATTTTTTTTAATTGAACTTCATACTTTTTGTTTTTCTAGGAACGAAAAGAATTTGAGCTTTCCGTATACATTAAACTACTACATTAGTTTGATTTGAACTTCTTGTTTTTATTTCTTTTACTAACAAGGAAAATATGAGTTTAATATAAATATTAAACTGCTCTACTTTTTTAATTTGAACTTCTTGGTTTTGTAATAGACATCAAACCGCTTTGTTATTTAAATTTGAACTTCTAGTTTTTTTAGAGAGAAGGGACAAACTTCTGGAACTACTCTACTTTTTGATTTGACCTTCTTGGGTTTTTCATAAACATTGAACTTCTCCGTTATTTAAATTTGAACCTCTAGTTTTTTTCTCGAAATGGGGAAATACCATTTTTTGTTTGTATAATTTTTTAACCGATTTGCTTTTTTTATTCGAACTTCTTGGTTTATTTTTTGTAAAGATGAAAAACCCAGTTTTATAATTGACAAACGAACAGCTCCGCTCTTTTAATTTGGACTTCTTTTTTTAAAACAAGTATACTTTTTTTAGGTTACAAGTGTATATTTTTAGTATGTGAACTTCTAGTGTTTTCGCAAGAAATTGGATGTTTTTTTGTTTTCTTCTAAAAAATCTTCCAAGAAGTTTATTCTGAACAAATCAACTCACGGAAACAACAATGTTTCACAGTAACACGAAACTTGAAAGAGAGACAAAGATATTCACCTGAATCAACAACCAACCCCTCTATCTGATTCAGAAAATGCCCACGTTTTTCAGTACAAGCATCTAAAAAAGAGAGTACATGCCCCACGCACCAGTGCACACACGCTCCAGCCAGCATATGCACGGCTTGTACATGTATAGTATAGCTAGCACTTCGTAGAACTAAAGAGCATCAAATACCTGATGCTTCTTCGTGCTTGTTTCAGAGAAAGAAGAGAGGTCAGATAGGACCTTACATCCTTGCATCGGACCCAGCTGGACATGGAGCTCGGGTGGACTGTGGACGTGCAATCTGACGGGGTTTGATGACACTGCCTCAAGCCTGTGCGCAGCATCAGAGGCGGCCCATTGTCCTTTGTGACGTTGACTCGCCGTCTCCGGCTCTCTGCCCAATTGTTGAACTTTAGCTGCGCACACGCATACTTGGATAGGAGAAAAGATGAATTAGAAGAGAGGAGCAGGAAGTTGGAGTGGTCAGAGTTGGCCAACGGTTGCGGACACATGCTGCAGGTGGAGTGGTAGACACAATTGGACTGTTAAAAATCAACACAATGGACTGTAACCATACTGCAGAAAATGGTGGTTTTGCAGAATCTACAGGGAATAGACAACCTTTTGTGAGGAAGAACAGTAACAGAAAGAGCACACCACTTGCCGGGCTTCACCGAGGAATATCAGGTTGGCGAGGCTGAGGTTGGAGAAGAAGTTCGAGCAGAGGAGGGGACGCCGTCCATGGTGAGTGGGAGGTGCGCTGCCATCTCCTATATCTCCCGGATGTGCCATTCATCTGCAGATGCAGGTCAAGAACTCCTCTAGCTGCAGGCCGAGGCCTCCTCCATCTGCAAGTGGTGGCGAGGTGCCACGGTGGACGGCGATGGGGTGCTCCGATTGGAGGCACGGGGCAGGCAGCGAGGGCAAGCCGGTGGGGAGCGCGGGGCGACATCTCTGTCGCGGTGGAGGTGTCCTGGTTGGCTTGCATGGCGAAAGCCGGCGGGACTGGATTGAGCTGGGCCGCAGGAGGTGGCCGACAGGGCGGCGCCGGGAAGCCGGGAGATGGAGGCGCGCGGCGGCACGGCCAGGAGGTGGAGTC